CTGCCTTAACGCTATTAAAATATCACGGAATTAGTAACGAAAATTAAAATTTTACTCTGTAAGCCTTTTGTTCTGCAAATAAGTGCATGGAATCATCATAATTTGATCTGCGGTTTAATTTTCAGTTGCCAGAATCGCGAGACTTGATAAACGCTCCTGGCTCAATGATGATCGTAGATATTTTTTAATATGTTTTAATTTGCTGAAACTTCGATCTGAACAGGTTGAAGTGTTTGTGATTCGTCCTCAAACAGTTCATCAGATTGCTTTTTTCTATGGAATTTTTTCTTCGTTAGAATAGACTCAACTGCAATTTTTTCGGCTACTGTTTTAGACTCTTGTATCCAATATTCCATAGAATTTTTCTTTCCTTTTTTATAATTCCTCAGTTTTGGTCAGTTCTTTCGTTACCTACACAGAACACGTAAGCGGAATTCCTTTTGAATTTCCATATTTACTCGATTGAATTCTGGAAAAATATTAGCTCAAATTTTCAGGTTGATAGTAAATTCAAAAATTTTCACAGCATGTACCAGATGTCCTACCTCGTGGTTTAATTCCACATCAAGAGAAATATCTTTAATTTCTTTTAAATATTTAACTAATATTTCCAGTATATTCATTATAAGGAACTTTAATCTCACACACATCACCTCACGTTTTTACGTACTGAATCACCTGGTTCATTTTTTTCCCATATGAGACACATATGGAGTGCAATCGAGCATTATTGTGTAGTATTTGGCTTCTTTAATATCGTTTAAAATGCTACTTCAGACTGTTTTGCCTTTAGGTTAATAACTTCATTTTGAATTATCTTTGATAAATATGATTCCTTTACCTTTGTTTGGTGCTTTGACTGGTACTTAAGAGTTGAATTATGTTTGGCAAGCGGAGAGATTAAATTCAGAAAATTTCCTTCGCTAGGTCGAAGACACTTTGTGAACAGGCTACTTGGGATATCACCAGACGCAAGAAAAGAATGACAGTTCATCCATGACTGCATAGAATTTCTCTCCATTTTTCATTCTTTATATGAATAAGTTGCTCAGAGTCGCGATCGATGCCTTGGCACGATTTCATTTGTTGTACTCGAATTTTCCACTTAATGATGCACCTCTGTAGATTCCAGACTCTTCGTGCTCAGTTAATTTAATTATCTTAAAACTTTTTTCCAATTAATGAATCCTGTAGTATGGTGTAGCAGCAGCACCATGTTTCTGATAAATTTTGCAGAGTGTACAAAAAATTGCATCCTTGTTTTTAGAATATAACACCAAGATCTCCTAAGCTTTTCATTATTTATTAATGCTCTGTAGAACATGTCAAATGTCTGCCATCACGTTCAATGGGACTGAGGTTTACGTTTTCTTGATGTTTACTGGCTAATAATACTGATTGACTGCTTAATAAAGATTGTTGGTGATCTTTTATTTTTTTCTATGACCAGCCAACTGCATGGGTCCAACAAATCAAAAGTTTTTAGTTTTTCGTCTTTCTGCTGCCCATCCCCATTTAAATGAAGAGATCTTTTATATCATGGTTTTATGTGCTCCAGCTATTCGTTTGATGTCGATGAAGAAGGTTGTTTTTACAAATGCTGACTTGTAGATTGTTTGCGGATGATATAGGCAGTCATGTTTGGTCGTGCAAATTGAAAGAAATATTAATACCCTCTAGAATCTCAGCATAATTGGAATTGTGGCAGGTCTGACAGTTTACTTCTTCTGTAAAGTTGTTTTTTCATCTTAGCTGAAATTTGTTTTCTCTGTTTGGCCTTATCTTTGGCTCATTTTCTATATTCCGCTTTTCTCCCCCTCAGCGTGCAGATGGTTTCTTTTAATCTAAATGAAATTCACTATAAATTGCCTTAATAAGAATAACTAAGAATTGATGTAATTACACTGAACCGTCCTAAATAAATGGCCGCGTCTCACTAAATATAGTGCGGGCTATTAAAAGCAAGCATATTTTAAAAAAAAACTAAAAAGAAAAAAAAAAAAGAGTACAGAAAGAGACCTGAAAACTAAAAAATAACCATACAACTAATAAATCTAGCTTTAAAATCCAAAATATGCTCCACTGTTCTGAGTCAAACCAAAGGTGAGCCTATGTTGCCAAAGAAATCTAAATGCCTTGCTTCATCTTGAAGACATAATGATGGTGTCTTGTATATATTCGACGAATATTAATTTAAATTATTTCATTTGTCCGAGTGGCCCGAGATTAATTTGTTTGGATTAGATCTTAGAAAATAGTTACAATGCTTCTCCATTTCCCAGCAGACTTTGCTATGGAAACCAGGTGACTCCTTCAACAAGCTATCGTCCTATTTCTCATTCGAATACACCCCGGCCAGACAGGAAACGATAGAGGGACTTCAGACATTACTGATAGGGTCAGTCTGATTCTATCAGTGACGCCTGGAGTCCCTCTACTTGCATCTTTCTGATCTTATATTTACAACTGTAATTGGCTTTACTTAACTTTATTTTAACATGTGTTCCTTTAAAAGGGTTCTTAGTATTTAATTATAAATCTTCTTAAAAGAGGTTTTTAAACTTGGCCTTAAACTATTAACATCGTACTAAAATTAGCGAGCAACATACCAAATACGATCCAGCATTATATTTGAATTTGCTGCCCACGAGAGTTACCGCCCGGGGCAAGAGCTCCGGCTTGCCCCCCGCTAGATCCGGGACTGCATAGCAATCCTCTTTCAAACTGCCATTAATGTGTACCAGGGATGTCTCGTGATCAAACATTATGCCACCCCAAACCATAATGCCCAGTGCAGGACCGGTGTGACGCTCGGTGAAATAAGCTGTTTAGTAGCATTCTCCAGGTCAGCATCATATACGTTGACGGCCGTCATTCCTCCACAAACAAAAATGAGATTCATCCGTGAACAAAACCTGATGCCATTCGATGGTCCACACATTATGACGCTGGCACCACAGCAGGCATCTAGTCTTGTGTTCAGCAGTCAATGGTACCCGTGAATGTAAGTGTACCTCATGTAATCTACTATGTGTAGTTTAGGTGGACACAGATCCTCCTGCTACTGGAGACAACCAGCTTTGCATGTCACGTGATGTGGAGAGAAAGGGTCTCCAGTAGTTGGACCGCCAAATACGCCAGAGTGTGCGCTTTCGCATGCACCCACTTCCTTTTTTGACATGCACGTACTCCTTCCTTCCTGAATCCATTGTGTAACACAATGTTGAATGGTACTCACGTTTGTGTCTAAAACGAGTGGTTATTGTGCACAGCAACCAACCAAGTTCATGGAGTTCGATAATATGGGCATGTTCCCTAGTCATTAACTGATATAATTCAGCTCACCGATGTCTCAGAGGCATTTTCTATGCTTCTACTAAAGTCTTTAATGCTCCGTAAACCCTCAGATGCTGTTTATGAGAAGGGAAAGTGGCTGACCTTTATATCCTGCATATGTGTACTATGTGATCCAATGCGTGCACAACTTTAATCGTGCATATCCACCTCACAACTCTCGCTCCTGCAATTTGCATGATGCTACGTGCATTCTTCCTTGGTGTTGCAATTTCTCTTTTGAGGAGTGTATTAATAATTTCTATAAATTTATCCCTGTTTCTAAAAAAATAATAATAAATAAATAATAAATTTCTTTGTTATTTTATTGCTCATTGTGCATACTTATCACATCCAAATGAAATCAATAAATTTAGCTATGCGCACTTTATGACATTTAATATTGCATGGCGCTTTCTAATAAAAAAGCAATAATAGCAATATTCAAATAAATCAAACTTGGGGAAATAAGGAATATACATAATATTAAAATTTGGTACAATTCAGTTTCGGGGACCGTAAATTTTAATTCTCTTTATGATAAAGCTATGGATTTTACAATTTGGGAATTGCCGAGTGAAGAAAAGTCTACAATAGAATTTTTTCCAAAAAAAAGGCATCATTCATGATAGAAAATTATGTTTGAACAATCATGAGATGAAATTATGCTTTATCGATAACTCGGTAGCAAAATGGCGGTGCAGGAAAGAAACCTGTAATGAGTATGTTTCCATTCAGTTATTTTAGCCTTCCTTTTTTATATAAATAATAATAATAAATTGTATGATGTGAAATTAACCTTTTTATCTAAATTAAAATAATAATCTGAAACAGTTATTTACTCTTATGCTTCCATTCAGTCATGTTTAGCCTTTTTCATATAAATTATAATAATAAAAATGTTTTATATGAAATTAAACTTTCATCTAAATTAAAACATCAATCTTAAATAGTTATTTACTATTATACTTCCCTTCTTGCCGCAATTATTTTTGGCAGCATTGGCATCAACAATAGTTTGGCGATTTTTTACGGCCCTCAAAACCGAATAGTACCTAAAATTTTATATAAAATATGAAACAGATTCTCATTTCAAATTAAATATTAGGGATATTCAAATATGATGCAGATCATTGGACTTTCCCAATGGTGACACCTGTAGCAAAATAAGCAATCTTGAATAATTCAAAAGTTTTACCTATAATTTAAAGGAAATTCAGCCCTACCAGCCCCTAGGGCACCTGTAAGAGTAATGAAGATGAAAGAAATGCTTCTATCCATGAAACAAGAGATTACTCTTAAGTTTTTAGTAAGGAAAAGTCTCAAACTTTGAATGGGCTTTGCAAGTTATATGTAGAACAATGCTATGACAAGTGAAACATGCTGCTAATTTTTTTTCTCATAGCCCAAATTTAGCCCCTTGTGTTCTCCAATTTCATTAGAATGACTAAAGAATGTATTCATATTCAAATAAACACTTTCTTTTGAAAGAGTATAAAATAACTTTCAGAATGCTGGCAAAGATGCATTGCAGTGCAAGATAATAACTTCAAATAATGACAAAATTCACAAATACATAAATAAGTATTTTTTCTTAATCATTACGTTCTTCCTGGTCATATTTGAATGCTCTAGTAACAAAGAATATAGATGCAACAAATTCTTACCTTGCACCCTAAGGAATGAAGCAAAACTTTTTTGTCTCGAAGTTTGAAATCTTCTAAAGTATTTGTATTAATGAGAATTCCTTTTAAAGGAAACCTAAAAGAAGGCACTTGAACATCCCTGTAAAAAATTACATAAAAATCAATTGAGAAATGTTTGCTGAGCATCACTATCTTTAAAATGTCTGATGCAGCAAGCAAAGACTATAAATATTTTTCATAAACTTATTAAAAGAAAAATACGATCAAGCTGGGAAAGAAACATGTCAATGTAAAATATTAAATCAAGCAGAAACAGCAAGATTAATATAGCACAGATTTTGAATAAAACAAGTTTCAGTCAGTAATAATATTAGAATTTTGTTTTATTTTCAAGCTTCTATAAATCCTCAATGTTTTTAATATACAGTCAAAAGTCTTTAATCCGGACATCAAAGCTACAAACTTTCTGCACATGCGTTAATGCACGGACTCGTCGGGACTTAGGCGATTCCGGATTATCGGTTTTTCCGGATTATAGATCATCAATTTAAATCTGGCAAGATGGCATACAGAAATTATAAAATTAAAAATATGAAACCATAATTTATGAAATAAAGAAAAATGATGATCTAAAAGGTATCAAAATTTAAGAAATAAAGCAATTATGATTTAAAGGGTATCAAAATTTACAAAAAAAAAAAAAAAAAAAAGTGTGTAATATTTGTTTACTTTATTATACATTTCTTTCAGCGTGCGCATGCGTAAAGCATACATTACACATAGTCAAAATTAGAAAATTGCAACGAGAAAACTATTTGATGTGCATTCGTGATATTTAAAATGACGAGGAATTTGATTTAAATCATATTAAAGACGGAGTACATAGAGATGAAATATTACATTTAGTAAGGAATTATAACTGAATAAAATAAAAACATCTGCCCTGAAGATAAGGATAGTACTGACAGACCAACTTCCAGTTCATTGTGCACGGCGATGTTTCTCCCCCCCCCCCAGAGCAGAGTGAAATAGATAAACAGATTTCGGAATGGTTAGAGAAACAAAGGATATGCCTTTATCCATTTTTTGCAGCAATTCCACTTTTTGTTTGATGGACACTAAACATGCTTTCGTTTTGTAGATCCTTTGGTAGCTCCAGAATCAGAAATTCTATTTGACATAATCGAAAGTTCAAGCTTACTTTTATAAAATTGCTCTAACAGTCTGCAAAAAATAATAAGCCAGATCCAATTAGAAGATTAAGGAACAATCTGCAACATTAACTGAAATAGATAATTTTAGCGTAGCTTATACCATCCGTTATACATTAAACGCGCATGCGTAAGCGTATTATGTGCATGCGTAAAGGTATTATGCACATGCATAAACACATTATGCATTTCCGCATGCGCAGAAAGTTTGCAGCTTTGAGGCCCGGATCATAGACGTCCGAATTAAAGACTTTTGACTGTATTAAAAAAAAGTTAACAAATATGTGGTAAAGCATTCTGAGTTTTTCCACTTTTACATGGAAAAAATAAATAAATTAACTACTCCTTTTCTTTAGACTTTTCAAAATTAAATATTCCTTTAAAATTACAATATTAAAAACATTATATTATTTACAAAATTATCATAAAAAATTCTTAAAATATATTCCATGAATATGAGAAATTAAAAAAAAATGTTAAAAACATATACATAGAAATTCTAGTCATTTTAATCACAACATATAACATAACTTAATAAAACATTATCACACAGTAACACCTTTTACATGAAAATTCACAAATTCTCATACTTTAAAGAATCTAAATAATAATTTAAAGGATTTTTTTATATTTACATTTGAACAAAGATTAAACTAAAATTATTTTGCATATTACATCACAACACCCTATTAACATATAACACACATTTTTTTAAATATTAATTTCTTTACATAAACAGAATAATATACAAAAACTTACTCATCAAATGAAGAATAATCAATATTTGCAATTGGTGGTAATCCAGAAGAACAACCTTAAAATTAAAAAAAGAAATTCAAACATTATCAGGAGAAAAGCATTACTATGTTATATATGTATAATAATAATTATTGGTTATGGTGCAATTCCCTATTATTTACAAAAGATTACTTTATAAATGGAATATTACACAGCAGTATTTATTCGAATATAAACTATATTTAGAAACCCAAAATACATAAACTGCATTTAGAAACACAGAAAATAAAAGAACATCATAACAAACTGAAATAATTATTCTCAAATAAAAAAAATATCTTTTGACAGCTAATATGAATTTTTAGTGAAGAAGTTGGTGCTGCAGGTCAATGATTATAACGATAAATGGGGGAAAGTGCAGAATCCCCCACTGCTTGGCACATTTTTAAGAAATGCACAAACTTGGTGTCCAACTGTACCTGAACCTATTTTCACTTAAAAAAAATCACAGAATTGCATAAATTCAGCATTGTGCACTTCCTTAACTTTGTCCATGTGCACCTTGATGTATTTTCACTTAAAAAGTCAAAGGAAATTGACAAAAATCCAATTCTTCTTACTCTTGTAAAAAGCGACAAACATAACACGCCAAATAAGTGGCCGCTTCTACACTTTACCCGATAAATGATATTTATTCTCTGGCAAATTCCCCTCCTCTTAATACTGAAATTCTCAGCGCAGTCAGCATCACCTGGATTATCACCTTTATACTGTTGTAGGGAGCATCTCACAAACACATCTACAGTAGATTTTGCAGTCTCATGCCTTCATCATTGAAGATAGTTCTGTAGCCAAATCTATCAGAACAGTTATGGCTCCTAACATTCTTAAATCACTTGGTATTCAGATCCAATAATTTAAAATTTTTTACGCATCATATCTATCTTGTCAACAGCCTCGGCTAGTCTTTATGTTGCAAGTTTTTGAATGTCTACAGTCTGCAGTTCAATCTGTATAAATATTTTAAGGGTAAAAAAGCGATGAACACTTAGGGATAAAGAAATGATTAAACTAATTGCTGAATACTGTTTGAATGCAAAAAGCATGGATGGGAGAAAGGAAGAATTATTTACTGACTTTTAAATTTCTAATTGGTAGGTTCCAATTTGAATATTTGGGTGCACTTGTATAACTGCAAATTCATAAAAGTCACATGTTATGCAAGTCAAAAGCTTACTGTATCATTCACCTGTCTTTAGATTTCAGTCTGTGTCATGTCCATTTCCACTCACTCAACTTCACTCTTTAAAAAAGTTGCTAAAATAGCCAACTTTCACTTGGTAAGTAATTTGGTACTCTCTTCTATTATTGGGACCAGATTCAGAAATATATGTATGTATACAAGTATGTATGTGTGTATATGTACGTGTATACACATACGCAAATACATATGTACATATATACATATTTCTACCACATAACAACACAGATTATTTTGTCATAAATGAAGCTTCGATTTGCCTCATTTTCTATTTTTTAAATAAAGCGTACATATATTTCGATAAAATACAACAACAACAAATGCAGGCAAAAGATGTTAAGCTACACATCTACTACAAGACAAATGTAATTTTTAGAAGACCATCTTATGAGAAAAACATCGTTCTTATAATCCAATCAATACAGTATATTAAAAGCAAATATTTCTTTCAGACTTAATGAAAGTAAATATTCCTTACAAATCTACAACTTTTTCCAACTTCAGTTTCATAGAAGAATTCTTTCAATCCTTGCATATTTTAGGTTTTATTAATGCATGGATTATGGATTCACAGTTTTAATGACGAAAAAGTGAAGGCAAGAATAAGAGCAAATGTATAACAGATATTTGAAATAGATTTACTTACAATTAGAGTAAAAACCATGAACGTTTACAGGTGCGTCATCAAGCTTAAATATTTCCAATTTCATTTTAGTCAGCTGGTACCAAAATCCAGTCTCTATGGCAGACGAGAAAGGAGCAAATTGAAGAATATTATTTGTTGACATATTAAATTATATGTGTTACTTTCCTATTGATTGAAATATTTACAAGCCTTTCATAGATATTAAAATAACTTAAAATCCTTTCATTTGTATTGTAAACATAATTTCTGCTTGAGTAGATATTATTCCCATGAATTAATCAAAAAATATCCACTACATCACGTGAAAACGGGAAAGTGAAACCAAGCGCAAGCCGCCGAAAGGCAAGATAAGAGTAGAGCAAACGCCAAGGTAAGTCTCAAGGTAGGTTTTGAGGTTCAACGCAAACGTAGTGCAAACACTCCTGTGAAAACTTCAAAATTTTGCACAATATATACTTTTGGATGTTGAAATTTTAAAACAACAGACGTGAAATAGTCGAAAAACCAAGCGGTTTTCGAAATATCGCTAGAAAATCAGAAATTAATTTTAAAATTTTATGTTTGTTTTTATTTCTTTTCTCTCTGTTAAGATAGCTCAGGCAGTAAAATTGTGAACATTTTAATTTGTTCGTTAAACTAAGATATGTGCGAAAACTTATTTTAACATTAAATTAAAACCAATCTGAGTCGAATTTTCATAAAATCGCTTCATCATAGTGTGTTATCATCCACAAATAGTGAGTATATAAAATTTAAGCTCGATAGGTTATCAGAAAATAGCTTAAAAATCGATGGCAAATTTTAAACATATCCGACAGACTAGTTTGCTTTTGCCCCTGTTTTTTCTCAGTATTGGGGTAGAGTAGACTTTGGGCCGTATCCTCCTTGCGTGCGACGAGATCTCGATACGAGAGTGACGTCACATATGACGGGTTTTTCGTGCGGAGCGACAATTTGCAATCCTCCAGCACCGATCGAAACCATTTCGTGCGGCGTAGCGATCGTCTGGTTTTCGGCTGCTTATTAGTGCTGTAGAAGTAACGAGAAATTGTGTACCCGTATGTATTCGTTACTCGGTGAACCAGTACTCGTTACTATCGTATCGTTACTCGTTACTTTCGGTAAAATCCATCGGTATTCGTATCCTGAGCCTATTTTATCGGCATACGGCTTTATGCGATAGGGAGTTATACGTCGTATTTTTGGATGGAAATATTCACCTCTTTTTTATGGTGTCACAAAAGTCAGAAGTCAAAGCGCCCTACAGAAGGCCGTCAGGAAAATAGGGAAAAATAAAATAAAAAATAAATAAATAAAATAAATATTACAATAATAACATTAATTAGTAATTAAAAGAATCAAAAATTACTTAGTAAAAAACTTAATAAAAAATATAAAAATAGTGATTAAAATAATGAATAATTAAAGAAACATAATAATTAGCAACTGAAATAAAAAATACTTATAAGTAAAATTTAACAAAATGTAAAGACAATATAAAATTAAAATAATTCTTAAATTTATGATGAATAGTTAAATTATAAAGTAAAATACCAGACCTTGTCTTATTGGCTTAGTACCTTTTCTAAAGTAATAAAAAGAAAAACAAATATTGCTCAAAGTTCTATACTGCACACTAATATAAGGTTAAAAAAAAAAGTTAAGTATGATTTTAAGAGTGATATATAGGGTACTGTAGACCAGTAACCAGTGCAGAATATCTTTTTGGATTTTACTGAACTGGATTATTTAGATTATGGTAAAGCACTTTAGGTTCTCTGTTTAAAGAAGGGGATGCCTTCGTAGAGAGCATTGCTCGGTCGCTGATGGGCTATTTGAATTTTATGAAACTGGAGATAACAGCGGAAAAGAACTTGCTGAATTATTGCTTCATATATCATTTGATCTTAAGTGATCTTTTGCAGATTATCATGGCCATTCATATGAAAGTAGCAGTAATATGAAAGGGGGAAAAAGTGAGACACTACTGAAGAAAATTCAAAAGCTCGTTATGTCCTTTGTTCCAGTTGTAGAATGAATTTGATTGTCACTGATGCAGTTAAATCTATAGTAATTTCAATAAATTTATTTTTTGTGGTAAGAGACTGTTTTCCGCATTTGAGAAATATTGGCAAATTTTGACTAGTCGATATGCATATGACGCTGAAACCTCTTTATGAAGCAAGATAGAAAGCGAGAACTTAAAAATTAAAGATAACATAATACATGCTTTAGAAGAGCTAAAGAGAAGAATTAAATCTGTCAAAAGGATCACATCATTAAAATTGTAATTGAGCTTTGTGATTTTGCCCGAGGCGGTACAAACAGTGCTGTCGCACCGGACGGAGAAAATCCTAGCGGTGGACCTGACAATATTCTTACTCATGTTCATTAACTTAATAAGGAACTTCACCAGGAAAGCACGAATTTTAATATACAATAAAATTAATAAATGCAACGCTGTGTGCCGTTAAATAGTTCCAGTAAAAAATTGATAGATAAAGAAAAGGAACTGCACAAATCTTTAGAACGGAGATGAACAAAAGCCAGCCCGTGGTCCGAATACGGCCCTTTTAATTGCTTAATCAGGCCCGTTATGAAATCCTGTGCAACGACATTTTCATCTCGTTCCTACCCAAGTTTGTACGCAAATTATCGAAATCCACACACGAATACGCATCTACTGTTACAATGCGTATGCACACGCATGATTATACTAACGATCAACCTAAACTGAAAACGCTAGATATGTTTGAAAGTATGTTTATTCGCAGAGGAATGTAGTTCTATCACTTCTAGCAGCTTTAATTTATAAATTATGCAATTTAACATAATTATTGTTGATATAAAAAGATTGATCAGAAAAGTGAGCTCAGAGAAAGGGCATTTCACCCCTAAAACTCCATTTAAAAATGAAACAGCATACAAGACAATAATTTGGTGACCAATAGGAGCAGATTCCGTTTTTGTCATGTTTGGCGAAACTAACCAGTAATCCTACGATACATTCCTCTCTAAGAAAAGCAATAAAATAATCAGTTTTATTGTTTTTGTTAGACCTGAGACTTCAAGAACGGAAAGCAGACAGGACCGTTGTGACCTCGTGTCTGGGGCTTATTTAAAGTAAAATATATGAAATGAAGCGCATAGAAAACTACCTGAAATTGTAATTTTTTTTAAATTTCTGCGGAAAAGGGATGTTCAACTCCCTCCCCCCCCCCCGAAAACGGCTTCGAAACTGTTTTTGTAGCTCTTGGCAAAAACGTTGACGAGCCGTGAGTTTTTTTTTTTTTTTTTTTTTGTTGTGTGTGTGTGTGTGTCGGTCTAATATATCTACATCTGCTGTCCTGGAAACTTTGATGTCCTGTAAGAACCCGGAAGGCGTTAATGGTAGAAGGTCTTCATAGTCGTTTGAGATATAAATAAGTGGTCAACAGTTTATTACGGCTTCAGCATCACAGATAACTATTAAATAAGTGCTCATAATTTACTGAAGCTTGTCCTAAGACTTGCACGAGCAAATGCTTGGTGATCAAGTGACCTTATAAGAAACTGTTCTTAGTTTTTGAAAATGTTTAATAAAATAGCTCTGGCAAAAGTCTTTTGAACTATATTTTTACGATTTTAAAAATGACAGCGTCTATGGATTTTAATTGTTTTTAATGATTCGCAACCGTCAATGTCACAAAAGTTTTTCTGTACTGTGATAAAATTTAAAGTGTTGATAAATGAATCAGTCTCATTTGTTTTTCTATGCTACACCAAGCACACCTTTAACATTCTCTGACGGTCATCTTCACACTATCAGGGTAAGTCAGGTTATCCTCTTTCCTGAATTGCTCTATATCTTGATTGGGTGAAAGAAATTTTTACCCGATACTGAGTATTTGAACCTATTTATGTCTGATAGATATCTTTAGTCTTTCAATGTTCTGTCCTAACGCGTATAACGGAAAATGCCCGCCTAAAATATTTGCAAAGGACTAATGACAACACTGTAAAGGACTAATGACAAAGCAAGACAGGAAAGGGGAAAAACTTTTGCAGGTATTCTGAATATTTCTACAACAAATTACCAAAGGAAAAGAACATTTTCTTGGTGCAGCCCAGCATCGTCTTAGTTCAGTAAGAGGAGAAATTCGAAAAGAGGTTATATACGAAAATTGCAAATGAACACATTTATTTTTCACATAATAATACTAGAATAAGATTCATTAGATTTTTTCATAAGGACATATCAAAAGAGCGTTCAATGATTAGTCATTATGTGAGTTTTTAACACTGTCCTTACACGAAGGAGTGAGAAGAAGGAAAAAAGAGAGTCACTCTGTTAACTTTTTTTGCAGCGCACCCAGATTACATTGCCTATCGCGCTATTGGCGACTGTTCATCACTGGATACCAACACCACTACTTGATTGACAGCATCACCATTTGCAATGAATCTCGAACACAGGCTTGCCTAGCGAGTTTGGTAAGCAGGTCTGCGATCACGTCTCACCTTCTACGGTAGTCTAAGCTTAGGATGCCGTGTTGTTGAAGTTCACGCAAGTAGTGGTGTTTGACATCTATATGTTTTATTCTGGAGCTATTTTTCTCTGTTTGTGTGTGTGTGTGATTATGGCAAAGCCTCCAGGGCTATCTGCCTAAGAGGAGGGATGCCTTTGTGGAGGACTTTCTAAGGCAAACTGGCTCGTATACACGTTACACATGGGGGAAAACCACGAAAACGCCCATGCAGCCAGCCCATTCACGGGGTTCGAACCTCTGACAGAACTACCAGTGTTCAGCGGGGGGGAGGAGGAATTCTAGAACATTACTAATTTATTGCCAAAAAATCATTTAGTATAATACACCAGTTTTTTCCCAGCTATTTCTTAATGCATATGTAACTTCATATTCATTCATGATGCATAAGCAATTCTTTGCTGGTATGTGCTGCAGAGTTTCACCTCCAATTTGGCACGATTTCTTACGACAAGGAAGGCATTTACTAAGGTGGTTTTGAAATTTTCGTAAGTGTAGATGGGACTTCCCACTTGACCCAAGAGATTTTTTCCGATGCATTTGAACCAACTAAGTGCTTGGCCCCTCAAAGCGCTGGTAGCTAAGGTGACTTTCTGGAACTCATGGACTGGATATAGCAGGAAGTGGTCATCCAACTTTTCCAAAAAATTGGTCACCGGTGAGTTTCCGTCAAAGCTTGCTGCTGGTTTCATCGATGCGCGCATGGTCTGGACGATGTATCCAAATCCTTCTAGGGTGGTAGCTGCCATTTCTGGATTCTGAGCAGCTGCTACAGGCACCTCAGATTCTTCTTGAAACTCGGCCATGGTTATTCTTTCTCGGGCGC